CATCATCCTGTCTACAATGCATGCCGAGCACAGCCCGGGCCCCCCCCACACACTGCCAGAAGCCTTCCGATTGGCTGACAGTCACCCAGAGCAGCTCCCTGGATGGCATGAGAGCGCTAGCCGCCGCCCTCCCGCACGCCTGGCTCCCTGGACGGCAGAGCGGACAGCTGCAGCCAGGTAAGACATCCCCCAAAAATAAGACCTAGTGTCTTTTTTCGTAGAAAAAAAAAATATAAGACACTGTCTTATTTTCGGGTAAACACAGTATTGACTCTGCAGACAGTTGGCGACTTCTGCGCACTGTGTGCTTCAGCATGCGCTGATCCCGCTCTGTCATTTTACGTGGCCTACCAATTCGTGGCTTAGTTCCTGTCGTTCCCAGTTGCTTCCACATTATTATAATAATAGTAACAGTTGAGCGTGGAATATTTAGCAGCAAGGAAATTTCACGGATGGACTTATCGCACAGGTGGCAACCTATCACAGCACCACGATTGAATTCACTGAGCTCCTGGGAACGACCCATTCTTTCACAAATGTTTATAAGAAGTCTGCATGCCTAGGTGCTTGATTTTATACACCTGTGACCATGGAGGTAATTGGAACACCTGAATCCAATGATTTGGAGGGGTGTCCCAATACTTTGGCAATATAGTGTGTGTCTGATCCTGGTGACCTGAACTAAACAAATGGCACGTGATCCCAGTTCGATCACCACAGACCCAGTGGGCCTAAGGCAGATGGGTGGGCTCCTGTGCCTTAAAGTGAGACTAAACTCAAGAGTTAACCCCTTCGTGACCTGTCGCCAGATCGCTTCTGCGTCCCGAAGATCTTAAAAAATGCATTCAAGCACCCTATTAAAAAAAAATGTGTTTATTTGTTCATCACTCACCTGTAGATCTTCAAATTTAACAGCCACATTTTGGTTGCACCGTGTCACACCCTGCTGCACTAAGAAAGTACTTGTGCACAGCACTATGGTGTGAACTGAGCTGATTGTAAACAAGGCAGTTTGGCTTGTCTTCATTTTGGGACTGTGCTGGTTTCCAGTGAAGTCACAATGCATGTGGTCTGAACAAACCCAAAGGATGTCTGCTTGTTTTTAAAAATCATCTATGGTTGTACACATATGTCGCAACCGCTATGTACTGGATAAAGCTATTTCTCTCTGTATCTTTAAAAAGCTTTTAAAAAATGGATACAACATTTTCCAGATCTAAAAAAAAATGATCATCCTTGTGTCTCTAAAAGGATGAAAAGTTAATGTCCTTATTATTGTTAATATAACATAAAAAAGTATGTGTACGCTTTCTTGATCTCCTTCTCCCGAGTCATCAATATAATGACGCTAGCAGAGCAAGTTCTCTAGGCTATTTTTAGAAATGGGTTCCTCCTTCCCCATACAGACTTGCAAATATTGGCTAAATTATTTGCAAATTTTGCACCCATAACAACTCCAGCTAATTGTAGATAATAATCTCCTCCAAACTAGAAAGAAAAAAAAAAGTTCATGTGATTTTAAAGTCAAAATGTTTCTAAGCTATTTCAAATGCTGTTTCAATCACATATACTTTTGGCAATATAGTGTGTACACACACATACACACACACACACACACAAGCATGCATCTACACACACTATGTTTACTTACCGGTCATTAGCCCAATGTAGCAATAACTGTACAAGAAAACCTCAGTCAGACTGGGAATCTTGGTCATCATTCCAATGGATGAGGGATTTGAAAATGAAGCCACTTCCCGCTTCCTGGCCCGGCTGAATTCTTGTGCCTCATTTGCCAAGCTCACAAGCTAGAATACACAAAAAAAAGCTGAAGAAAAAAAAAAAAAAAAACACACAAAAAATCCAGTTCCACAAAACATCTGTTGAACAGACCATGCTGCATGAAGTGAAAGGCAATGAAAGTTTTGCGTATTTCAGAAGGGTGTTGTTAAGCTCCAACCCCTAAAATTAAAATGCTGGTCTCTTACCCAAGTCTCCCTCACCCTGTGCACAGCATGCATCCTTTCACTAGCTAGATACCCATCTTTTTAAATCACAGCAATATAATACCAGGGCTCTGAAAACTGCAGGGATCTTTAGGCTACCCCACAAAAATTGCAGTTAATAAAGATGCCCTGCAGTACTACAAAGAACCCTCTGCCTGCTGAAAGTCTGCTGTCTAGGGTCCTGAAGTCCCAGGTGGTGCTGTAGGTGAGTTGGCAAGGAAGTAGGCAACTTCCTTGTCATCACCCAGATATTCTTGTCTGAGGCACATCTACACTATGCCACTAAGTAGGACTGCAATCCAGCGTCAGGTGCCATCATGTCAACACTGCCCACTTAGAACTAAAAGTGGCAGTAAGTTGATCAATTATTCAGTGCACAGAAAACCAGCAAAGGTAACTACTCTTCTCAGCAGTAAAGAGAACATTGCAGCTGTTGTAAAGGGAATATTTCATAAAGGATATCTAAAGATGAGGGGTTTCATTAGTAGCCAGTTTTAGCCATGCTGTCTCTTACAGCTTGGCACAAGTTGTTTTCCATTAGGTGGCAAGTTATCATGGTACTATGCTTGAATTCACTGAGCTCCTGAGAGCGACCCATTCTTTCACAAAAGTTTGTAGAAGTGTCTGCATGCCTAGGTGCTTGATTTTATACACCTGTGGCCAAGGAGGTGATTGCAACACCTGAATCCAATGATTTGGAGGGGTGTCCCAATACTTTTGTATATATCTATCTACTGTATATATATCTATATATCTATATATCTATATATCTATCTATAGAGAGAGAGAGAGAGAGAGAGAGAGAGAGAGAGAGAGAGAGAGAGAGATCTATATCTATCTATATATATATCTACAGTGGTACCTCGGTTCACGAACGCCTCTGTTCACGAACAATTCGGTTCGCGACCAGGAAGTTCGTCAAAATATTGCCTCCGTCCGCAAACTCTGCCTCGGGTGACGAACACGAGCGCGGCCATCTTCCCTGCTCTGACACATGGTCTTGGCTTCCTGTACTCGAGATTGCGGTCGCAGACAAGGCTGTGGACATTTAAGGTGGCCATACACTTTACAACGATCTGCCCATCTTGGACAGGCAGATCGTACTTGCGATCATCGCAAGTTCGCCCCCCTGAGGGGCGGGCTTTTGATGGACGCAATGCTGAACGGGCAGTGTGTGCGCGCGCACACACCGGCCCGTTAGGCATTTGTCTCCCGAGCATCATTCAAACGATTTTCGGCTGGTTTTCTAGCATGCTCCTTAGACAAAAGACGTGCAACCGTACAGTAGAAACGGTCGCACGTCTTCATTCACACTGCACGATTCTGGTACGATCGCGGGATTTCCCGCGATTCTCGTACGAGAATCATGCAGTGTATGGGCACCTTTACTGTGAAGCTTTTTTTGTGTGCTTTGTAGCACAGTACTGTACAGTATTACTGTATTCAATCCAGCATGGCTCCCAAGAAAGTGCAGAGCAAGCATGGTGGGAAAAAGAAAGCGCAGAGAGGTGACAAGAATGTGCAGAGCCTTAATGAAGGTGACAAGGATGTGCAGAGCGTTATTGAAGGTGACAAGGATGTGCAGTGCGGTATTGAAATTGACAAGTATAGTGTTCACTCTCTTCATACTGTACTGTACTTTGTTTCATATTTTTGTGGTTAAATGTTTTTTTTCAATATGGTTCAGAACGGATTAACCTCATTTAAATTGAACCCTATGGGAAAATGTGATTCTGTTCGCGACCACGTTCGTAGGAGTCAGAACGGATTGCCTCATTTACATTGAACCCTATGGGAAAATGTGATTCGGTTCGCGACCAGAATCGTGGAACCAATTAAGTTCGTGAACCGAGGTACCACTGTGTGTGTGTGTGTGTGTGTGTGTGTATGTGTGTGTGTGTGTGTGTGTGTGTGTAAAAACAAAACAAAAGCGGAGTATTGCAGTGTGCAATGATACCTTTCTTATTGGACTATATATTTTAAAAAAGACAAGCGTTTCGAGAGTTGACCGCTGCAAAATTTGCCAATATAAACCCCGCTTCAAACTTTGCCAATATATATGTGACAGAAATACAGCGAGTCACAATAACAAAGCGTACACCATTAAGGGGTCATACTCATGCACATCTGCTAACGTGGTGTACATGATACAGTGTTCAGCTTCTGACAAAGGTTGTTACATTGGGGAAACTGGCCTTAAGCTGCATCTCAGGATGAGCCTGCTAGGGCTGCAGTTAACGATTCATTTTCATAATCGATTAGTTAGCCGATTATTAACTTCGATTAAATCGGATAAAAAAAATAATATTGCACAGGAACGGAGGGCATTTCAGTACAGCGCGTTCCAGTGCGGGCGATCACACTGTGGACGGGAGGTGCATTTGGGATCCATTGAAATTAATGGCACTGCAACACACCTCCTGCAGCAAAGTTTGTCAGGCCGAAACTGAAAATGACTTTTCCCACCTTTTATTTATATATATATATATATACAATTATTAAAAAAGATATATATATATATCTTTTTTAATAATTGTATGTATTATATTAGACATTTTAATTAGGTTCATGGATTTTAAATAATGTGAATTGTAAAACTAAG